CACGGGTTGTGTGTGTGGGCTTAGCCTAGTCCTTAGGGCAGGGTGTGTGCCCAGGCTGTGGAGCAGGCACGTGGTGGAGGAGGGGCCTGGGGTAGGTCTGCTCCCTCGGTCGGTGGCACTGTCATCATTTCATTTCCACCTGCTCCAGCCCCTCTCCCGGGATCCAGCTGTCAGTTAGAGCTTGAGGTTTACAAAGCTCTGGTCCAGAGCAGGCTCCTGCTTCCTCCTCTCCTGCCTCCTGCAGGATGGGCTTCCGTTCTGCCGAGGGGACAGTCTTCATTCCAGTGTTCTCGAGCTTGTGCTCAGAGCCAGGCTCTTTCTGGGAGTGAATGAACACGGTCCTGCAAAGGGAGGCAGCACAGGTCTAGCCAAGGGCCAAGCAGGGCAGATAGGAGCCACGCCAGGAGAAGCGTTGGCATGATGTGGATGGGTGCCCAAAACCTGGGAGAAGCGTCTGCTCACTTCAGAAGGTCCCCCCTTCTTTGGCCACTGTTAAGTAAATTAAGACTTCTAAGATGTGGAAATTGGAGTTTTTAAAGAGTTCAGTGGCTTTAAATAAAGGAAAGGCATGGCCAGATGCAGTGGCTCACGCCTGTAATCCTTGCACTTTGGGAGGCTGAGGCGAGTGGATCACCTGAGGTCAGGAGTTTGAGATCAGCCTGGCCAACATGGTGAAACCCCGTCTCTACTAAAAATACAAAAATTTAGCCGGGCGTGGTGGCGGGCACCTGTAATCCCAGCTACTTGGGAGGCTGAGGCAGGAGAATCACTTGAACCCGGGAGACAGAGTTTGCAGTGAGCCAAGATCGCGCCACTGCACTCCAGCCGGGGCAACAAGAGCGAAACTCCATCTCAAAAAATAAAAATAAAAATAAAGGAAAGGGATGTAATACCCCAATTTTCCTAACACGAGTGGCAAAGCAAATTCAGCTTCAGGAACTGAAAAAGGCACAGAGTCCCTGAGAGAAAAATATCTGAAACCCCGAAAGGAAACCCTCTGTGGTCTAAATGCCCACATTGAACAGCCAAGGTGTGAGCAGAGGAGACCCCACCATGCCCCGCGTTGAGTGACCCACAGCTTTTCTCCCCTGTGCAGGGCCCCAGTACGGGACCGTGGAGAAGGCCTGGATGGCCTTCATGTCCGAGGCAGAGAGGGTGAGTGAGCTGCACCTCGAAGTGAAGGCCTCGCTAATGAACGATGACTTCGAGAAGATCAAGAACTGGCAGAAGGAAGCCTTTCACAAGCAGATGATGGGCGGCTTCAAGGAGACCAAGGAAGCCGAGGACGGCTTTCGGAAGGCACAGAAGCCCTGGGCCAAGAAGCTGAAAGAGGTACATCTGTCCTGCAGGCTTCCTTGCCCGGCCTCGCTCTGCCTGGCACCTTACCAGCAGCACCCCCTCCTGCACCCAGGACTTTCTGCTACTGGCTCTAGGCACAGGAGGCCATTTTAGGTTTTTCTCCTAAAATTTCAAGTAACATTGATATCTGTTTTTCTAAAAGTAGCAACCAAAACCAGAGTTTTGTCGAGCCTTGGCTAATTGGAGGCTGTCATCTGTCCACCCCAGCCCTCCGCTTGTGTGCCCCGCCCCTGCCTGCAGCCTCGCCCCCATTCCCTGCTGGAATGGGCTAGACGGTAGATGTGCCACCCCCAACACCCAGCTGTTCTCTGGCCCTGCACTGCCTTCCTCCTCCTCAGAATCATCCAGAACATGCCTCTGTCTTTCCGGATGGTTTTCTCTGTGTCTCCTTTTCTGTGTTTTAGCTTTTGTCGCATCTCCTTTCTCTTCTGTTTTGTCCCTGGCCCCATTCATAATGAAACTGTCTGTGTCTCATGAGGCCTTTGCTGTAAACTCCTCCTTCCCTCTAGAATGAAATCTGTGGCTTTGGCTCAAATAAGGAAGGATCTATTGAGAGAGAGAGAGAGAGAGAGAGAGTGTGTGTGTGTGTGTGTGTGTGTGTGTGTTAAATAGCCATTAAAACCAGAGGAAATGTGGCCGATCACCCTGCGCCCCCTCCCCCCAACCACCCAGTATAGTCCTCTCGTTCATGCTAGGTTCCTCCTTGGAACTTTCTTTGTATTCGCTGATCCAGCAGCCTGGCATGGTCTTCCTGGGATGTCCATAACCCCTCCATGTGCATGCTCCATGTCATCTCAGTGGCTTTCTCCACCCACCCCATGCTCCGTCTCTGTTGTCCTCCCCAACACTTAACGCCCTCCAATTGACTCTGGCATGTAACTTTTCCTGTACTGTATCTGCCTCCCACAACTCAAATGAAAGCTTCACGAAGGCCTGGGCTCTTGTGTTTCTTGCTGTGTCCCTGGTGCCTTGAACCATTCACGGGGCAAGCAAGTGCTCCGTGAATATGTGTTGAGTGCATTCCTGTTGTGACTAGTTGCTATGATAGTATACATACAATTTTGTACCTGCCTTTTCCTCCCCTCTTGGTAGCACAAGCATTCCCATGGTCTGTGTAACCTCTAGTGAGATCCGGAACTCCCAGCGACATGGCATTCAGGAACTCATTATCCCTGTAGGTAGAAGCAGCAAAGAAAGCCCACCATGCAGCGTGCAAAGAGGAGAAGCTGGCTATCTCACGAGAAGCCAATAGCAAGGCAGACCCATCCCTCAACCCTGAACAGCTCAAGAAATTGCAAGACAAAATAGAAAAGTGCAAGCAAGATGTTCTTAAGGTAAATTCTACACTTGTTTTTACACGTCGAGTGTCACCATGTCAGTTGATCACATGTTTGGCACATAGTAAGCCTTCTGTAACTGCTTGGGTGATTGGGTGGATAGAGGGATAAAGAACCAATGAAACACACCCCTGTCCTCAAGAAGGCCACAGGTGAGTGCCCCAGCACCTCACCTCACCATAGCCACTGTACCTGCTCAGTTGAGGGGCAGAGCCAAGCTCTGGCCAAGCTGGGGGAAGAGAGAGCTCTTTGTGCTCAGAGACACAAGGACAGCTGGGATTGCTGCAGGGAACTGCTTGTGCCAACATGGGCATGGCCAGTGGTCAGTGTGAATGGGCATGGCCAGTGATGAGTGTGAATGGTTGTGGCTGGTGGCAGGTGTGAATGGTTGTGGCCAGTGGTGGGTGCGAATGGGTGTGATGTGAGCTGGCATGGAGGGTTACGAGGACCAAATCGCCAGTGGCCTGGACAGCCAGGCTGAGTAAGGAGCTTAGGATGCTGCTGACCAGGAGCCACTGAGGAAGGCCTGAGCCTGGGTGGGGTCAGGGAGGAGGTGAGGAGGGGGAGATGGTTTAGAAGGATTGCTCTGCTTGTGTAGGGAGAGGGGCTGGAGGCAGAGACCTGGCGGAGGGACTGCAGGCTGGGAGCACTTGTCTGGGCAGCCAGGTGGGAGGGGGATGGAGGTGCCCCGCAGTCTCCACAGTGACAGGCCGCAAGAGTGAGGCAGAGGTTATGGAGCCAGGGGTGGCAGAAGGGTGGTCTTTGGCCCATGAGAGACCGTGACCGGCACTGTGGCATCCTGGGTGCCCTTCCATTTCTGTTGTGAAGGGGAGATTTTCTGCCCCGGTGGGTGAGAGAGAAATCACTGTGTCAACTATGAAGTGCTCCGCAGATGTCGACAGTGATTCTGCCTAGAAGGTCCTGGAGTCACAGGACTTAAAACCAGACAGCGTCATCGTCTTGTGATTTACTAGTTCACAGGAAGGGAGGGCTCAGCCCTCGGCCCCACCTCCCCTCCTTTGCTCAGCCATGACAGGTGAGGGCTGGGGGGGTGCAGTTGCCGAGGGCCTGCCCTGCCTCAGTGTTTGGAGATGAAATTCCCCACCAGGATTTGCAGAGAGAGACGGAATGAGGTAGAGAGAGGCTGCACTCCAGGAAGAGGACATGGGCAAAAGGGAGGCAGGAGGCCTAAGCTGGTTTCACTACCCACTAACCTTTCCCGGCCCCTGTCAGTTAGGTGGTGGCATCCCTTTTTTGTGAATGAGAAAACCAAGATCAGAGAGGTTAAGTCGTGCCATCCAGCAGGTGAGAGCAGGAACTTCTGACCTCAAGCCCATACATATGCCTATGCCCTTTCTCCACTGTTCCTCACTGCTATGCTGTTGGCGTAGCAAGGGGAACCCGTCATCTACACATTCATCACTCAGACCGAGCGTCAGAATCCTCTGGGAAACCCCTCTCACTCCCATTGCTGGAGCCAGGAATCTGGGCTTTTGAAGCAGCCCAGGTGCCTCCATGGTGGGATCAGGTGAAAAGCCTGGAACCAACTACTGAGTGTGGGGCACGTGGGCTCAAGAAGCACAAGGTCCCGGAGAACTCTCCGGCCTTTGCTAGAATCCCAGGGAATCAGGTGCCCAAAAAGGTGCCTAGAAGAAAGATGGGGCTTCTCCATGTTGGGCGGGGCCGTGCCTGTGTGAGAGAAAGGGAGACGGAGATGGAGAGGAAGAGAGGCCTTTCATGTTTGACAGCCACCCAGAACATCAACTCAGGCTTTGCAGAACAGGCCCAGGGCGCGAGGTTGGACATAAGCGTCTGGCAGGATGAATGGGACACTTTGCAGTGGGTTCCCTCCTGGGGCCCTCCCTGCCTCTGTGGTCTGGCCAGTAACTGCAGGACATGAGAGGTCCTTGTGGGCCTAGAGCTCTGGAGAGGAGGACAGTCCCTCCCCAGCACCCTTCTTGACGCAGTTTCCAAAATCCAGCACACAGCCTGGGCAACGTAGTGAGACCTCATCTCTACAAAAAATTTAAAAATTTAGTTGGGTGTGGAGGCATGTGCCTGTAGTCCCAGCTACTTCAGAGGCTGAGGCGGGAGGATTGCTTGAGCCCAGGAGTTCAAGGCTGCTGCGAGCTGTGGTCACACCACTGCACTCCAGCCTGGGTGACAGAGTGAGACCCCATCTCTAAAGTAGGTAGGTAGGTAGGTACATACATACATACATACATACATACATACCACTGCTGACTGGATGCACATGTACTTTCATGTTTCTTATCAGCCATCAACTACGTCTTGGAGCATCCATCAGAAAAGAACTTTTTGCATTTAGTGCGAAAATATTACAATCTACCTAAGGGTGAAGGCCGCCTTTTGTTTTACTCCATGGGTATTCATTGAGAACTTTCTGTGCCCTGCAAGGGGGTTTCCAGAACAGTGATGACCCTGCTCAGTACCTGGCCTGTGCTGGGGGCAGGACTTGGGGCCAGCAGGGTCGGCACAGGCTGAGGGCAGGGGCAGTCCAGAGGTGGAGCATCTTGTTGCCACTAGTACCCTGAGAGCTTCTGGGAGGCTACTGTGTCTTGAAGGCTCCTGAGATGGGACTGCTGTGTCACTTAAGCAGTATCCTCCAGATGCCGGGCGCTGAACCCACAGCTGTGTGTCTTGGGCTTCTGAGCTAGGCTCCTATGCAGGGCTGCCAGGTAGTGGGCACGGGCAGTGTCGATGGCGGTGGGGAATAGGAATCACCACAGCGCTGTGGAGCTCTCTTTCTGCTGGGCATGCCCCAGCCCTGGCAGGGGTGGCCTTTTCCTGTAGGCACAGAGGACCCAAGCCCAGCCATCTGAGGAGGCTGAGAAGCAGAGCAAGGACCCGGATACCAGGAGAGGAGAAAGGGGCAGGAGTCAGAGCCCTAGAGGGCGAGGTGGGACCTGGTCTCAGGAGACTGCGGAAGGCTTCAAAGAGAGGAGTTGCTTTGGAGCCTGAAGCGGAGTCTCCCAGGGCCCTGAGCCACATGAGTCAGAGGCGAGCATCTGGGAGGGGAAGAGGGGAGCCTCATGGGCAGGGTAGACTCAGTCCCAGCTGGGGGCAGAGCGGGTGCCCCATAGGCTTGCAGTGGCTCAGGAAGCACTCCATCCTTCCTCATCCTTCCTTCCTTCCTCAGAAGGCCCTGCATATGTTGTTAGGGACAGCAAAGCTTAGACTCGAATGGAGCCCGTGACTACCCCCATAGTAGAAAGAATTGCAATAAATAGGTGGCCCCAGCCCTGCTATCGCTCACCCACCCCAGGGGGCCAACACGACCATGATCCCACCAACTAACAAAACCACCTGGTCACCAAACTGGTGGCCCTGTCCCCAAGATGAGGGGTGAGGGGAGGCCATTGACCTCGAGGCACATCCCCACCAGATGAATGTGCCCACTTCAGCCACATCTTCAGAATTTCACACATTTTCTAGCTGCCCCTCGATACTCTTGAGATAGGCCACACCTGCTTTTAACATTTCCTGCCTTGCAAAACCCCTTCTTGAGACAATCTGGGAGGGAGCAGCTATGTGAGGGGGATGGAGTGTGCTGAAGGACAAGGGAAGGAGGACTTTTTTTGAATGCCTTCTTCCTGCAGCCCATCATTTACATATCAGAACACTGTGAAGGAGAGAGTGTCCTCATCTAATAAAGGACAGTGAGGCTCCAAGAGAGCTGCAGGATTCAGCCCCAGCCCCACCTTTTCTGTGGGAGGCTTGAGGGTAGCCAGGCACAGCCCTTCCCCAGAGGGAAAAGAGGACATGGGCGTTTGGCACACTCAAGACCACACACACCAAGCTCTGGGGAGACTGCCCTTTGCCGGCATCTACCTCTCTGGGCCTTGCTGCAGCTGAGAGACCGGGCAGATGGCAGGAGTGTGATTTACCTTGCAGGAGTGGAGGGACTGGAACTTGAACTTGAAGTCTGTCAGAAGCCAGAGCTCCTGTTTTTTCTTTGCATTGGAATCTGGGGAGGCCTGAGACACTCCAGGGGTGGGGTGAGTCAAGGGCCGAATGGAAATGAACCTTTGTCTTGTGCCTGGATTTTCCTTTAGACCAAAGATAAGTATGAGAAGTCCCTGAAGGAGCTCGACCAGGGCACGCCCCAGTACATGGAGAACATGGAGCAGGTGTTTGAGCAGTGCCAGCAGTTCGAGGAGAAACGCCTGCGCTTCTTCCGGGAGGTTCTGCTGGAGGTTCAGAAGCACCTAGACCTGTCCAATGTGACTGGGTAAGTTTCCTTTGAGCTAAAACACACATGTCGTTGAAGTCAACGGAAAGTGCTTTTAAAGCAAACTCAGATGCTGCTCCCAGGTTTGGGATGGCGCGTTTGTCAGGAGGTCTCCTCACCACCCTCAGGGCCTCCTGCTTCTCTGTAATCTGCATGGCAGGGAGGGCCCCTCTGCTGAGCGTTTCTGCAGCTGCAGGCATGGCTGGCTGGACCTGTGGAAGGCCTGGCTGACCCAGCCAATTGCTGGCCCAAGCAGATAAGGCCAGGCCCACTCTGCCAGCTCCACGTACAGGTCTGGGCAGGAAGGGAGATTGCCCTTTCTGGGGCCACAGCTAGGACCAATGCAGCTGACTTTGCTTTGCTTTGCTTTGCTTTTCCTTTTCTTTCCTTCCCCTCTCCCCCTCTCCCCCCCTCCCTCTCCCTCTCCCCCTCTCCCTCTCCCCCTCTCCCCTCTCCCCTCCCCTCTCCCCTCTCCCTCTCTCCCTCTCTCCCTCTCTCCCCCTCTCCCTCTCTCCCTCTCTCCCTCTCCTCTCCCTCTCCCTCTCCCTCCCTCTCCCTCCTCTCCCTCTCCCTCTCCCTCTCCCTCTCCCTCTCCCTCTCTCCCTCTCCCTCTCCCTCTCCCTCTCCTCCTCTCTCCCTCTCTCCCTCTCTCCCTCTCTCCTCTCCCTCTCCCTCTCCCTCTCCTCTCCTCTCCTCTCCCTCTCTCCCTCTCCCTCTCTCCCTCTCCCTCTCTCCTCTCCCTCTCTCCTCTCCCTCTCCCTCTCCCTCTCCCTCTCCCTCCTCTCCCTCTCTCCCTCTCTCCCTCTCCCTCTCTCCTCTCCCTCCTCTCCCTCTCTCCCTCTCCCTCTCCTCCCTCTCCCTCTCCCTCTCTCCTCTCCCTCTCCCTCTCCTCTCCTCTCCCTCTCCCTCTCTCCCTCTCCCTCTCCTCTCCCTCTCCCTCTCCTCTCCTCTCTCCCTCCTCTCCCTCTCCCTCTCTCCTCTCCCTCTCCCTCTCCCTCTCCCTCTCTCTCTCTCCTCTCCCTCTCCTCCCTCTCTCTCTCTCCTCTCCCTCTCTGCTCTCCCTCTCTCTCTCTCCTCTCCCTCTCCCTCTCTCCTCTCCCTCTCTCCTCTCCTCTCTTTTCTGACAGTCTTGCTCTGTCGCCAGGCTTGTGTGCAGTGGCGTGATCTCCGTTCACTGCAGCCTCCTCTGCCTTCCGGGTTCAAGCGATTCTCCTGCCTCAGCCTCCCGAGTAGCTGGGATTACAGGCGTGAGCCACCGTGCCCAGCCGCAGCTGGCATATCTAAGATCCACTAGGGGTGAATCTGGCATTTCTGGGCTGGTTGTGCCTGGGACAGTCTTTCTTTGAGGCCCTTTGTGATCAGCTGACTGCTTAGTGGCTCTCAGCCCCCGGGACAGCACATACCCTCTGAGACATGGTTCTGAATTGTGACATGGAAGCTGTGCTGTTTGTTCTGAATTGTGACATGGAAGCTGTGCTGTTTGTTCTGAATTGTGACATGGAAGCTGTGCTGTTTGTTCTGCGCTTTCCTCATCTGTGCTTCTGTGATGCCTTCACCAGGGCAGAGGTCCCGGCTAACTCAAGGGCATGGACTACTGTCATCCATCTAGCAGAACCATGTAGGGACGCATCACAAAAACACATTCCTTTTGTCTCCCTCTGTATAAAAATCATCAAAGGCAAGTTATTGCACCACTGTTGCTCTGCCACCATTCCATTTTTATGACAGTTTTGTAAAGTGGGTGGCACTGACCCCATCTTATCGATGAGGAAGCTGAGGCTGGGTGAGATTAAATGACTTGCCCGAGGCAGCTCTGCTGGCAGGAGCAGGGTGGGGCTGGCCTGTGTCGGCCTCTTCTGCATGTGGAGTGACTTCCATCATGCGGAGGCTTGTCTGTCTCTGTGTCTGGATTTCCCCCTTTTAATACAGGCACCAGTCATATGGATTCGGGCTCCTGCTAGTGACCTCCTTTTACCTTGATTACCTCTATAAAGACCTTATTTCCAAATAAGGCCACATTCCGAGGCACTGGGGTTTGGACTCCAGCATGTCTCCTATGAAGGACACAACTCAACCCTTGATGGAGGGGATCATGTCCACTCAACAGAGGAGGAAACCGAAGCCCAGAGAAAGCACATGACTCACCAGCCATAACGATTATAAGTGAAAATATCAGGTCCAGCGGTGATCCATACTCTTCCCCCACAGGGCAGCTTCCTAGGAAGGTGAGCCGGCGATGGCTGCCAGGCGGAAGGCGGCCCCCACCCCATCTTGGTGGGTGTGTTCAGCACTGGGTCATCTTCACACTCTGCATTTGCACATCTGGGTGTAAAGCCTTTCTGACAGATGAGGAAGGAGGGTTACTTTCTAACACCCTCCAGTTTTCTCTTCCTCAACTCTGGGCCTGGTTAAATGGGAGCACACAGAGTGGTGGCCCACGCAGCCCACCTGCTGGTGCCTTTTGCATATGTGACACAGAGCAGGTCTCATTCATTGCTACCTGCTTTGCTGGTTTGATTTAAAGCTCATTTGTTAGAAGCCATCTGTGCACGTGGTGGCCCGTGATATTCCACCCGAGCCAAGGGAGGAGTGTTCTGGCTCTGTCTGTGAAACCACCTCACGGGGCAGAGACCACGGGACCTGCTCTGGCTGGCACTGGGCTGGGACAAATGGTAGCTGGCCCCTGCCTTCTAAAAGAGCCATGTTTCCCTCTGATTTAGCTACAAAGCCGTTTACCATGACCTGGAGCAGAGCATCAGAGCAGCTGATGCGGTGGAGGACCTGAGGTGGTTCCGAGCCAATCACGGGCCAGGCATGGCCATGAACTGGCCACAGTTTGAGGTAAGAGGAGGGTGTGCCCATGGACCTCGTTGGCCTGGAAGAGGACCTGGGCCCACAGAGTTGGTAGACGATGTCCTCGTTCTCATTCCAGACTCTATGTTGGTGTTTGCCCTGTTTATCAGGCAGTCTTTAGGCATAGCTATAGTACAGACCAAGTTCTGGCATGGAGGCCTGGGGGGCTGCAGGCATTACCAAAGGCCTTCTGAACCTCTTGGGAAGTTGCAGTTATGTCCTCTCTAGTTGGCAATGTTTGACTGTCACTCTTTGGCCACTGGCATTCCCTTCCTTCCTAGTCAGTCCCTGGAGCCGCAGGCACACAGGACCTCAGGTCCCTGATTCACCCTGTGGAATGGCCGGGAAGGGAGCAGCCGCAGTGCCCCCCTCACAGTGGGCCAGGGGAGGGGAGGTGGTCTCAGTGGGCAGCCCTCCTTACCCTTCCAACAAAGGACTTTTCCCTACTCCAGGCAGTAAATTCAGTGAATCCTGATTCAAAATGAACGTTCTTTTCCCATCATGTGGGTCTGAGCCTTTCATTATCTTTACATTCGAAATGCAAGGACTTGGGGATCTCAGGACTCACCCAGGCCTAGGATTGGTCACCAGGCCCCACCTGGCACCCTGAAGGCAGTGGGTGAAGGTCCTGCTGCCCCTAAGGCTGAAGCACGTGGCGTCAGCTGCCCCAGCGGGGATGCTGAGGGCGACTGCCTCTGCCGTGGGCATGGACCTCGTGGCTTCCCCGACTCAGCAGTGGCCAGAGCCCGGGCTGCATTCAGATTCTGCTCACCTCTGACCAACTGTGGGAAGCTGAGCAAACTATTCACCCTTTTTGTGACTCGGTTTTCCCACGTGTGGAATGGGAATGACAAGAGCACCCATCTCCTGTCGGGGGCTGTTGGGGAACATGGTGACTTTGTCCATGCAGGGCTGTTGACCCAGGCCCACCCCCCAGAAGCCTCCTGGGGCCTCGTAGCCTGCAGTTTTGTCAGTCCTTACTCCTGCATTTCTTTTGTGGCCCTTAACAGGAAGGTTTCTCCAAATGACAGCATGGGCCCTGCCGCCGAGCACTCCCCTGTGCCAGCCCAGGACTTGCTCCCAGGAGGAGGCTGCAGAGCAGCTGTGCCCCTTCCACAGAGGCACTGGGAGAGCATGGAGGGCCAGAGCCTTCCCGAGTGGAAGTGGCCCTAGAGGGGACAGCACAAAGCCCAGCCTCTCCTCTGGAGCCACACACCAGGAAGCCTCGGCTGATGTGTTTTGTGCACAGCTGGGGTTTCACACACAGCGAGGTTTTGCTGCTCCCGGAGTGGCACAGGAAACCACCTGTGAAACTCACTTGGGTACCTTAGAGGTGCCCATTATACCCAGAGAGGGGCACAGTGGGGAGGACTATTTGACAGTCTGTCTCCTGGAGGGTGTCCCAGCCAGAGCCCAGGGGGCCCATCTCTCTATGGGTCCATGGGCTGGGAACCAGCCCCTGTGCGTTCCTTGTGCGCACATTTGCAGCTGTTACAGGACCATGCCTGACTTTCTCTAATGCAGTTCTTTGTTTTATTTTTCATGCCACAAGGATGAAGTAAGTGTCTGCGTTCGGCTAACTCATAGAGTGCCATACGCCGTGCAGGGTGTCTGTGGCCCGCATGGGTGTGTGTGCTGCCCCTGCCAGGCTCCTAGCAGTTCAGCTGAGGCTGCCCTGCTGTCAGGGGTATTGAAAGCCAGCCCTTCCCTTCAGCACCAGCTTGGTATTGATCCCATTGGCCTTTGGAAGCTGCCTGATCAGGATGAATTTATATTCACAGGTCACTGTGGAGAACTCTGAGGTTCTGATTGAGTTCTCAGTCAACCTATTCCAGTCAGAAAATAATTAATAGACAAAAAGGTGACCCAGATTTAGGATCAGGGGCCCAGGTCTGCCACCCCCTCTGCGTGGGCAAGTCACGTTGCCTTTCTGGGCCTCAGTTTCCTCATCTGACAAATGGACAGGTTAGACAGGATGCTTCTGAGTTGGCTTCCAACCTAAAAGTTCTGGCCGGGCGTGGTGGCTCAAGCCTGTAATCCCAGCACTTTGGGAG